AGCAGAGAAATAAATCTTCATGCTACAACAATCAATTATGACTCCATGTCTGACTAGCCAATCCAAGCCCAGAATGATGTGCAGATTCATACCTAGAAGCACAATCAGATCAACCACGTACTCCTTCTCTTCATAACTGAACTTGACTTCTTTACACATCAAAAAAGTATAAACCAAATCTCTGGTGGCAGTCTTCACTACCATAGGAGGCGTAAATGAATACATAGGCAAGTTCAAACCATTCATAACAAATCCTGAAATAAAGGAGCGGGTGCCTCTTGCATCAAACAATGCATCAAAATCATAGCCATCAATGAGAATGGTACCTCTGATCAGGTTTGGAGACTTCTCCGCTTCCTCCTGGGTGACGGCATATACTCGTGCAATGGGAGGTACTGGAGGCTCCTCTATAATAATGGGAGTCGGAACAGCCTGAATAGGAAGAACCTGAATAGCCGCAACCTGCCCCTTTTTTCTGGGGGCACTCTCTAGAAAAGTGTCCTATTTGCCCGCAACTGTAGCATACATTCTGCCTAATCCAGCAGACACCATAATGAGTCTTCCTACACTTAGCACAAGTAGGAGTCTTCCCATTCCCAGCTCTTCCATTTCCATTATTAAAATTTCCATTTTTCTTGAACTTGTTCCCATTTTGCTTCACTTGCAAGCCTTTGCTTTCCCGTTCTAGGGAGTAGTCTTCCCACTAAAACCCTTGACTGTAGCATCCTTGCGTCTCTCCCTGCAGCATATAAACAAAATACAGAAGTTTCATATCTGCATCACACTCCATGACCTGAAATATGCACTCTATCTCCTGTAGCCACTCAAGGGTAGTAATAGGGTCTCTTCCACCCTTATAGTGGGGTGGGGAATGCTTCCTGAAAGTAGGGGTGTAAATGGGCTGGGCTGGGCTGGGCTTTGACTTTCCTGGCCTAAGCCTACGTAAAAAAATACTCAGCCTATCTGGCCTACTAAAGGCTTTATTTATAGGTCAAGCCTGGCCTATTTTTCAAAATTAGAGAGCCTTGTAGGCCTCTCTCGTGATATATTTTTTTAAAAAATTAACAATTTTTAAAATATTCACTTGACATTACAAGTCATTAACGTGTTCATAAATTGCTGCATTTTTTTACACGAGATATAAATTTCACTAGTGAGCATTAAAAATTTTACAATAGTAAAAAAAATAACTAAAAAAATATACTGAGCAAAGTTCCATTCATGTATGCACTAGTACTTTTCATAAAAATAAAAAATGACAAATAAGAAAGAGTCAACATAGTCCACCAGCTCTATAATGTATATCAGAGAGGAATAGAGTCAAAGAAATTGAGAAAATAAAAAATTACAATTACTAGGTCAACCAAAACTGAAATAAAGTCTACAAGAGAATATCATTCATTGAAATATCTTTAAACCACCATCAAAACAAGGGTTGGTACTAATTTCCATCTAAAATAAATATATTATTTTATTTTATTTTTAAAAATTAAATAGGTCAGCCTATAAGGCTTTAGGCCAGGCTTGACAAAATTGGCCTACAGCCTATTTGTTAAAAAGGCTTTCTTATAAGCCTAAGCCTTTACTTTTCAGCGTAGGCCGAGTTAGGTCAGGCTCAACATAGGCCGGGCTGTAGGCTAAGCAAGGCCAGCCTGGCCCATTTACACCCCTACCTGAAAGCATTCAGCATCCTTTCCCGAGTCTCACAACCAATCACAAGTGGTCCAACTATCACTCTATGTACAGATACATTAGTGTAACACCCCGTGTGCACCCGGTGTATTAAACATATAAACGGTAATAGCGCAGCTCAATAAATGCAGAAGCTAACTTTTTCCAATTATGAACTCATCATCTCCACATTCGCCAATCTATTATGCGCCATGAGATCCTCACTGGTCTTCCACGTTTGCTCCATATCTCTCTCTGGTCTTAGCCATCCTCTGAAGGTCAGCTTCCCTTGCAATATTGTAGGTTTGCTGGAGAGCTGCTAGAGCAGCTGCTACGGGATCCGGTGGTGGATCCTCAACTACCTGACGAGTCCTCCTTTGAGGAGCCATGATAACTGCACACAACTACACAAAAGATGAGTTAGCTACGCTCATTTAAGTGATGATATATGTATTATCATAGTGCTCAAAGAAACACTCAATAGATAATTAACACTTAAGCAATAAATCATTGAATGTCCTGGTGAAACTGCTCTGATACCATAAAATGTAAAGTCGTTTTTCTTTCCCTTCTTACAATGATAACAGTAAATTTCAAACTTATCATTTCATGTAAATTATTCAAGTTCCTCGATAATAATTCAATCCTAATAGCTTAACATGTAAAGTCTAACTATGTGACATTATTTCTTAAAAGTTCACATCATTTATTAATTACCAAACGGTAACAATTTAAAATCAAAATAAATAGGAAACCAAAAAAAGAAGAAAGAAAATCAAAATAAATAGCACGGTAAACAATATAAAGTGTCAAACTCTTGTGATGAATGTGGCCATTTATCTCCACAAACCATAACATAGACTCGCAGTTAGCAAATTTTCAAGGTGGTGTATCATTAGGCAACTCGCTTAAAATTCAAAGAATGTATTAAAAAATTTCTAACAGCCAAGAAAAAAAATAAAGAATAATTCCCAATCATTCTATAGTTAAAATAATAATTTTTGGATCTGATATCATAAGATATGAACGAACTAAAGTCAAAGGCACCAACCTTGTTTGGAATTTGTCCAAAACCAAGTTCGGTTCGGGCTGCTACTTGCAGCCGTGTTTGGACAGAACTTCACTGTAAAGGTAAAAGCCGTTTCACGGACGTTCCAGAAACTTTTATTTTTGCGAAAGAATACTTCGCTCTTTGCTCATCACACGGCTCCAGAAACTTTTATACATTTTTGGAGTATATAATTCTTCACTGAAAATATAATATATGATTTCAATCGAAAAAATAGTTAAATTAAAAATAAAACTTAAGTGAATTAAATATAAACAATTAGAAAATTATAAGTATTACTTTAACTTTTAATTTCATATATAGTGAGGGAGAAGACAATCAAAGATTCAAAATAGTATAGCCTAACTAAGCGATTGATGAATTTTTTGTTGTTAATTATTTAATCATTGATATATAAGATTAAAATTTTTGTGATATTAATAGATACAATAAAAAGTTATTATATTATTTCAGGTATAATAAAACTAAAATCGTGAATGGATATGTGTGATTAGTTTATTTTTGTATATGTATTAAAGAATTTATTACTCAATTTTATAAGTAATAAAAATATTGAGATTTGTGAAACTTCTTGAATTGGAAAAATTACTTTTTGTTTAATATTTATATTACTTAAACAGTTAAATTAAAGTATTATTTTTTGTAATATATTATGTCTTATTTTATAATAAAGATAACGGACCTGAAAAGTATATCTGAATTTCTCCACCTGTTCATATCTTGGTACTGATTAGTCAAAATTAAACGGAACCCCAAAACCAGCTTTGATTCCGGCACGTCTGACTTAGTCTCAGCATCGTTCCAAGTTGGCCATTCACGTTATCACTTTTCATTTTCAAAGGTTACTTTAATACCAGCCAGGATATTTATATTGTCAAATTTTTCTATTACAATTTCATTACCACTCTAATCACTATTGGATTAGAGAACAAGTTGAATGAAGAGAGAGAAAAAAAAAATAACTTTTGAATTCAATAGTATGAATATCCTACCTCAATGAATATATATAAAATTAACTTTTATAGGATTCAAAATACTTTTTTTCCCTTCTTTTTTGCATTTGTATGAATTATAAAAAGATCATCATAAAATCTCAAGAACGGCAAGCCAAGACATAACAAATCCGTCTAAAGATTATTTACTCAAGGTGGAATTCATTAAATTAAGTTCTTAAAAAAAAAATTAATGTTATAATTAATAAAGAATGTATTCTCTTATATTAAAAATTTATATAATTACCACCAAGTATGTGAATTAACTGATAAATAATTGTTCCAATTTAATCACTAATTTCGAGTTGAAAAATTAAACGTGAACAAAAATTTAAATAAAAGAATTACATAAAATTACTTAGTGCTTAGAATAAGTGATATTAATAAAGGTGTCAATATAGGTTTTGACACGCGGATCGACCCGCGACACGACACGAAAATTCGTGTTCGGGTTGACTCGCAAAAAAATTCGTGTCGTGTTCGTGTTGATGTATGCATGTTCGTGTCAACCCGTATTTTTTTAAAATTATTTTATTTTTAATTTATTATTATTATTTTTTTAACTTTTTTTAATATCGTTCCATTTTTTTAAATTTTTTTTGTCAATTACCATTTTGACCCTTATTTTGCGTGTTATTCGTCTCCTGTCGTGTCAACCCGCAAAAAATTCATGTCGTATCAGTGTTAAAGATTTTGACACGAATAAAAATTCGTGTCGTGTTAGTGTTGATGTATTCGTGTCGTGTCGAATTCTTGTCGTCTCGAATTTGTGTCGTGTCAATCCGTTTTGACACCCTAGATATTAATATCATCCTCACTGATTTCATGATTTTTTTTCGAAGTTTAAAGGATGAGAAATTACATCATTCAACTGTTCAAATATTAAATCTAGTGACAGGTGTCAAGTAGTAACAGAATTTAAGACTTTATCATTTTTACTCACAGGGCCCCATTATTACGTTTATTATTGGACTCCAAATTTCAGCTCGTTACCTAAAAAGCCCTTCCATTTCATTCCCCTTTTGCCACCGCTGACTCTAACACAAAAACATGTATGAAAAAAAAAATTGAGTTTCCTTTCTGTTCGTATTCGTTTTTCTTCTCTCGTTTTTTCTTCTACGCTAGCCATTCTTCAAAGTCTAATTATTAGTTCCTCCGAGTCAAGTTCGCATCTTTTTCTCAATCCCAGTTTCGGGGTGTTTTCTTCTTCCTAGTCTTCATCTTCATTCGATCTGGTAGGAGGTTCCGATTGTATTGGGTGAAGCTCCAAAAAGGGTATGTTTTTTGCTTCTTTCCTCTGCTCTGATGTTGATTCGGGTGCTGTTGCTATGATCAATGATCACGGCCCACTTTGAGATTCTAACTAGATAGTTTTTGTGTTCATTGCAAAGTTTAGAATTTGTTTGACTTCGTGATGTAATGTTTGAATTCTCGGAGTTCTGTGTGTAATTTAGGTTGATTTGTGACTTATGGTGTTTCTGTTTGGGTTTTGAAGCTCTGGGGTGTCCTTGTAATAGCTTCTAGTTGGAATAAGTGCGGATTTTGAGTTTGTACTTTTTTAACAAAAAAATGGATAACTCCAAAAACAGGCAGAATGAGAATTTGGGTGTGAACAAAATTGGAAAAAACATTAGAAAGAGCCCTTTGCATCAACCCAATTTTGGTAATAATGCTACTAGTGGTAGACAGCAACAACCTCCTCAGGTTTACAACATAAGCAAGAATGAATTCAGGGATGTTGTTCAACAGCTTACTGGGTCTCCCTCTCTCTCGCAGGATCCTCCACCTAGACCACCTCATAATTCCCCAAAACCACAGAGTGTGCGGTTGCAGAAGATTAGACCTCCCCCTTTACCCCATGTAAGGCCACCAGTGCCTACCCCTGCTTCGGCCCCTCCACCAGTTCCTTACAATGGTACCTTACATAGACCTGCTCAGTTTAGACAACCATCTTCCAATCCTTTGCATCCGGGGGAGATGACATGGGCTAATACAGCTGAGTCACCCATCTCTGCATACATGAGATACCTTCAAAATTCAATGATGGATCCAGGGTCAAGGGGTAACCAAGTTCAGCCTCAACCACAGCCACACCCTCCACAACCATTTGTACCGGGCAATGTTCTGCCTTATCCACCTTCATCTGGTTTACTTCCTAATCCTCGCATGCCTATGTTGCCCTCTCCAAGATTCAATGGTCCCATTGCACCTACGAATGCTACTAACCCACCAGTGCCTAGTATTCCTTCCCCACAAACAAATGGCCCTCCTATTTTACCTTCTCCAACTTCCCAATTCCTCTTGCCTTCGCCGACTGGTTACATGAATTTCCTATCCCCTCGGTCACCATATCCGTTACTTTCACCTGGAGTTCAGTTTCCATCCCCCTTTACCCCCAATTTCCCTTTCTCGCCCTTTGCACAATCAGGGATTTTAGGACCTGGACCTCAACCTCCGCTCTCTCCAGGCCTGTTCCCATATTCTCCGTCAGGGTTTTTTCCCATCACAAGTCCTAGGTGGAGAGATCAATAGCTTTCTCATTTTGGGCTACATGCTTCGATGGGGGTGCTCCCTTCTAACTGAACTGATCTTAGTTCTTAGAAGAGCTTTGTTTGTTGGCATGTAAAATACATTCCAGTTGTAAGATGTCTTTTTCGCTGGTGGTAGTCTTCATTTCTCATTCCCTTGTTTCTCTTTTGTTGATGACCACAATGGCTACAATCCTTTTACTTTGAAGATCAGAAACTCAATTGGACCGTTGGACAGGAGCTGTAAGATGAAGGACACGAAAGGAAGTAGGCTTACAGACAATATTTGTTATGTAGGGTAGGTAATGTTCTTTTGTAATATAATGGATTGCATGTTAAAGTGCATAGTCGTTTTCATGTTATATTTACTAGAGAAGATACTTTTATGTACTGATCTTATACTTTTCAGTTTTCACCAAATGATTTGCAATGAAAGATATTTGCTTCTTCAGCATTTATTTTTTGTTTCTTATTTTCTTATCTCTAGTAGTTTCCTTTTTCATTTGATGGCTGTTTTAGAATATTAAGTTTGCTGGCTTTATTTAAGATGACTCAAGAAAAGAAAATCGACAACTTATGTACTGAATAGATTGATTAACCTTGCTTTGGATATGTATTCAGGAAAATTATTATATTTGGAATCATTTGTTTTTGTTTTCCTATTAGATTCGGTTATTCAGTATGAATGACAAAATCAAATTTATAGCAGCCGGGTAGAGAATATAATATAGTCACTTCGTAGCTCCAGCTATGCTGAGTTTATAATTATAGCTATTCTTTAGTGAAACGTTCTGAAAATATAGATGTTACTAAAACTAGCTTTTGCGAATTGTATTTATTGACAATTTTGTACTGAGATAGGAATGTTTGTAAATCTTAGTTTAGGTTTGATATCTATTGCCCCCATAATTCCTCTTTGTTAGGCATACAAAAAGTATAAATGCCAAGCCTTTTTTATTTTGTTTTCGCATATTCAGCTTGTGCATTATTTTATGTATCTTAACAAGGCTTCATGTATCCTAATTATGTAACGCCCCGTTCTAGAACCAGTTTGTTAACATCGCATTATGATATTAAGCGCAGTTACAATCACATGGGTTCAATTAAAATCCGGATAAATTTTTCATTTTAAAACATGCCGAATTTATAATACCCAATTTCGTGATCATAACCATATTACCTTGCGGAATCAGATAAATCAAGCTTAACATCATGTTCTTATTCCATTTTTAAACCATTAATTTACTTCTTATTTATTTCACATCTTCTACTATATTGGAGATCTCTTCATTAGCTACGCGTGGCTTCAAACCGCGCTCAAATCGGAGTACTGTAGCCCAAGTTATGACCGTTGGAATCAACACAAGATAGTGTTGATCACAGGTCCCGCGCGCTTCAGCGCGCTACCGGGCGCTCAAGCACGCGTTATCGGGCGCTAAAGCCTCCATCTGGGCGCTTAAGCGCACGGAGGCAGGAAGCATCAGGTTTTTCAGTATAAATGGGCGCTTAAGCGCGCACCAGGGCGCTCAAGCGCGCTATCCTGGGCGCTTAAGCCCCCATTTGGGACATTTTAGCGCGCAGAGGCAGAAGCATCTCCTCCTTCAGCGGCTAAGGGCGCTCAAGCGCGAACCAGGGCGCTCAAGCGCGAACCAGGGCGCTCAAGCGCGTAACCCTGGGCGCTTAAGCCCCTACACAGGGCGCTCCAGCGCGAGGAGGCCGAATGCATTGGCTCTCACAGGGGCAGCAGGGCGCTTGAGCGCGCTCCTGGGCGCTTAAGCGCGCTGCCAGGGGATTCCAATTCCCACATCTTTCAAGTCCAAGTCTAGGGGAAGATGCATCACCCTTCCAAACACCAATTGTTCATGTCTCAAAACTTAATCCTAGCACTCATCCAACCTCTCCTCATGAGATTTAGCTAGAATTTGGGCAGCATAACCTTTGTTTTCACGATGTTTCCCAATTTAAACAAAAGGTACCTAATGGATTCTCCGCCCAACCAATTCAATAACTCAATACATCAAAGCATGCATATATTGAATTTCAAGTAGGCATCATTTACAGTACATATTCATTACAAATCATGGAACTTAGCTTACAAAACACTATGATCATTCCCTTGGCTCCCATCAACAAAAGAGATGACCAAAGGCATGAGCATAGGCTAAGTCCATTCCAATATACAAATCATACATCTATCAGTTGTCTATGAGTTACAATCTTATACATGTGAGCTACAAAACAACATGTATCAAAATACTCGATCCTCATGCATCAATACTAGTCCAAGTCTGGCCACTTGCCACCGGTGGCTCCTGCAGCATCCTTAATTGAAAAAGGGGCCCCACAACACGGGGTGAGATATACGAATATATCCAGTAAACTAGGGGTCCTCGGAGCATCTCTCCACCCCACAGTTCCATATCAGTGTAATAGCAATAACAATAATAATGCAGTAAATACATATCTATGCAAAGTGCAATAACATCTCCAAGAGAAATCCCTCGAGCTCTCAAGCTGTCCTAAGGAAACTCAGATGCAAATAGTCCTACTGGCCAGCTAACTACCAAGTATGATTTACGCATCGTCATGCAACATACCACATAGGGAAACACCATCCTATGCCACACCAAATGCATACACATACGTATAACAACACATTACACTATTTTATTGCATTTATATACACAATCACAACCTCTACCCTTTCAGGGCTTGGTGGAACAGTCAAGGGAATTACACCCAAGGTCTGAAGGCTTACCTCAAGCTTCAGCCAACCTTTGTTCCCACCAACAGGTTCCACAGTCAGTCAATTACAATACTCCACTTCTCAAACAAAACCTACATAAGGTTTAATGCAATTAACACATATTGCATCTAATAACATCTCATAGCTATCAACCAAGCTATACAATTCATACCAAACATAAGCATGAACTTACCTATCCAATGGAGCTAATCAAGCTCCATAGCTTGCTCCAATGGTTGATCACTTACGGTTGGTCCAAATGCCTCAATCCTAGACATCATTAGGACACAATCATCAATCAACCAAACCATTGAGTACAATTGCAAGAAAGTCCAATATCAAGCATCATATTCTTGCCATTTTCGCAATATACTCATTTAGCTATCTAAGCTCATTTTCACCGATTAAACGTCGTTCCTAGCATTTTTCACAACATGCACTAAGCTCCATTCTTCCTAGAACATAGCTAATTTAACAACATTTCATCAAAACCCCAATTTACTATTCATTGAACCCTAACTCATGCAATTTTCCATGAAAATAAGGTTCAAGGGGTAGAATCTTACCACCAATGGTTGCACAACCAAGGATTGATGGCTCCTCAAGCTTCAATGGAGGTTGAAGCACTCAAAACCCCAAATTTCACCAAAGGGCCGAATTTTTGAGAGGCAATATCTCTCTCCACAATGCTCCCCACTCAAAACTAAGCTAGGATTATGAAAGATGGGAAGATTTAGTGGTTTAGGCTTTTGAATCACCCAAAATGGTTGGGATTTGCTCCCTCCTCTCTCTCTTCTTCTCTCTCCCTTTCTCCTCCTTCTCCTTCTTCTTCTTTTCTTCTCTTCTGGCTCGACGGGTTGCTGGGGGGTTTGGGGTTCTTTTTGTTCTTTAGTCACTTAACATAGGTTAAGTGACTTTAGGCGGGTATTGGTTCGTCTATCTATTTAACTCCATTAATTACCAAACTTTACCCAAAAGTCTGGAATATTATTCTAGGGATATTTATAATTTTATTTTTATATTTTGGGCACTTTCGCCAGTACCCATTTATACCCGTTAATTTTCACTAAGTACACTTTTTATCTTCAAAGTGACTCAGATTCATTTAACTAAGCCTTATACTTAATTTTAATCACTAATACATGCTTAATTATTTAATTACATGTAATTTGCTAATTAATTAGGTTAGGGCTATTATAGTCACCCCACCTTTTAGCGATTTTGTCCGCAAAATAAAGAACGTACATGTCCTTAAACTCAGGATATTGCCGGAGAAGTTCATCTTCCCGCTCCCAAGTGGACTCTTAAGGCGTCCTTCCTTCCCACTGGACTTTCACCATAGGAATAGATTTATTTCTCAGCTTCTTCTCATCTCTTTCGAGTATCTTCAGTGGCCCAATAGGAGTCTTCAAATTCTCCCGGATTTCAACATTATTAGGTTGAACCACATGAGAAGGATCAGCTACATATCTCCTCAGCTGAGAAACATGAAACACATCATGCAAATTTGTCAATTGCGGAGGTAAGGCAAGCTGGTAGGCAACCGGTCCCACCCTACAAAGAATCTGGTAAAGTCCAATAAATCTCGGACACAGCTTCCTCACTCCAAGGGCTCGTCCAACACCTGTAACCGGTGACAGCTTCAGGAATACATAATCTCCCTCCTCAAACTCTAGAGGTCGGTGCTTGAGATCATAGTAACTTTTCTGACGATCCTGAGCCTTTTTCAGACGATCCCTAATCATTTTGATCTGCTCAGTAGTCTCCTAAACAAAATCCAGTCCAAACCGCTCTGTGTCTCCAACCTCTGACCAACAAGTAGGTGTCCTACACCTACGACCATACAAGGCCTCGTAGGGAGCCATACCCAGACTAGCATGAAAACTATTATTATAGGAAAACTCAACCAGCGGGAGATATCGATCCCATGCAGTACCCTGCTCCAGGGTGCAAGCCCTCAGCATATCCTCCAACGTCTGAATGGTCCTCTCAGTCTGACCATCCGTCTGTGGGTGATAAGCAGTGCTCAGTCTCAACTGAGTGCCAAGAGCCTCCTGCAATGCTCCCCAGAAGCGAGAAGTGAACTTCGGGTCCCGATCACTAACAATGCTCTCAGGCACCCCATGAAGCCTCACAATCTCCTTCACATAGAGCCTAGCCAACCTCTCAGCAGAGAAATCTACCCAAACTGGCAAAAAGTGTGCGGATTTTGTCAATCTATCCACAATCACCCATATAGAATCATAACTAGCCTGTGTTCGCGGCAATCCCACTACGAAATCCATGGAGATACTCTCCCATTTCCATTCAGGAACATCTAGAGGTTGCAACATACCAGAAGGCTTTTGATGCTCAATCTTGACCTTCTGACAAATGAGACACTTAGAGACAAATTCGGCAATATCTTTCTTCATACCAGGCCACCATAAATTAATCTTTAGGTCCTGATACATCTTTGTAGCTCCCGAATGAACAGTGAAATGACGCTTATGGGCCTCTATCATTACTTCCTCCGCCAACTGCTAGGTACAACAACACGACCCTGATATAGTAGTACACCCTCATCATTGCAGGATACACCACTCTGACCTTTCAATCGTTTCACACTTTCATTTTGCAGTTGAGTTTCTTTAATTCTGGTCATCAGTTCATTTTCAATGCTTGTAATTTTGATGCCACAAATTCAACACAGAAAGATTTTGGATAATTGCATATCTCTGAACCTCTCAATCAAATCATAATCTCTAATCATCATGCTTGATATACTCACAGATTTACGGCTCAGTGCATCAGCTACATCATTAGCCTTGCCAGGATGATATTTCAATTCAAAATCATAGTCTTTTAGGAATTCGGTCCACCGTCGTTGTCTCATATTCAATTCCTTTTGATCAAACAAGTATTTCAAGCTCTTGTGATCGCTGAATATGGCAAACTTCATTCCATACAAGAAATGTCTCCACTGTTTCAATCCAAAAACAATTGCAGCAAGCTCAAGGTCATGGGTCGGATAATTTTCTTCATGCGGTTTCAATTGCCTCGATGCATGAGCTACCACTCGCCTATCTTGCATCAGCACACAACCCAGTCCCTTTTTAGAAGCATCGCTGTATAACTCAAACTCACCTTCCGGATCAGGAAGTACTAACACCGGAGCAGTCGTCAATTTCTCTTTAAGGCTCTGAAAGCATTCTTCACATTCCTGCGTCCAAACAAAAGGAGTATCCTTCCGGGTCAAACGGGTCAATGGCAAAACCATAGCCGAAAATTCTTTAATGAATCTCCGGTAATAACCAGCCAAACCCAGAAAACTCCTTATTTCCGTTACTGTCTTGGGTCTCTCCCAATCAACAACTGCCTCTATCTTGCTAGGATCAACCGCCACTCCATCAGCAGAGATAACGTGACCCAGAAATTGCACTTGAGAAAGCCAAAATTCACATTTAGAAGGCTTTGCATATAACTGTTTCTCTCTGAGAATTTGCAACACAGTTCTCAAGTGACCTTCATGCTCTTCCTTACTCTTGGAATATATCAGGATATCATCAATAAACACAATCACGAATTGTTAGTGAGTCCAAATGGAATTACTTGATACTCATAATGTCCATATCTAGATCGGAAGGCAGCCTTCGGAATATCTTCCTGCCTAATTCGGATTTGATGATAACCCGACCTCAAATCAATCTTTGAGAAAACACAAGCACCCCTC